GATAACTCGTTGGGGAACCCCCTCTAGCCGACGGTAGGTCGGCACCGGATCTCGCCATCCAGCGACTGAAAGATCGCCACCACGCAGCGCTCCACATAAAACATATGCACTACACTTACGGGACTAATGACCCTGGTAGTTGACGTGTCCCGAATCACTATACAATGAAACAATAAACAAATACTTCCATTGCGGCTAAAATGTCAAATATTCACTGGTCTATTGACCCCAATACCTGAGCAAAAACGCCTGCTCACAAATGTTATTCCGTGAAGGCGCATGCGCCGGCAAAATCTGTCCATCGACAGCGAGAAACGATGCCAGTTTCGCCTCGTACGTAAACAACCGAGGTCACGCTCACGGAAGAGCTGCGTCCTCGCCCCTAGAAATGTCGCGCCAACCTCACCAGACCTAAGATCATCAGCGCTAGTGATTGGTCCACGCGCCCCCTCCCCCTCCCCCCCCCAATATCGCTTGTGGCGACGATGGAATTTGAAACATTTTTTTTCTTGGAGCGGGAGAACATTTGCAATGTACTCGCGGCAAGCTGCGTGAAGGCTCACTGAATTGGAAAGAATTCTGAAATGCGTAATATAATGAACACACATAATTCAGTATTCATTTAAATTATTTAGATATTCCTTTGAGGTTTGACTGAATTGAGAAGATCCACAAATTTTATTACCTTAACATCAGCCAATTGCATTTTGTACATTTTAAATGGCATGTGCGGTTGCCTGATAGAATAACAAACAAAGGGAAAAACTGTTTCAACGGAAAGCAGTATTGAGACTATTTTTCCTTCTTTAACTGTTAATTGTCACTACGACACCAATTTGAAGTATGAAATCGTAGTACTTATTTTGTTCCAAAGAACATTCGTGTCATCTGCAAACAGAACTGTTTTTTCGTTTCTATTGTACGAGGAAATAGCTTTTAAACATAAAATGAAATATAAGACCTAAAATCGAACACTTAACCTATGGATAATTGGCAAAGAATTGGAGAAGTGAGTGTAATATAGAGAATAATGTTCGTGCCAAGACGGTATTATTACCCTTTGCAATTGATGTTTAAGATACGATGAAATCTAATCTCAACGCAATGCAACGAAATCCATACGAAGGTAATTTTGAAAACGAACGTTATTAGCAATGAAGTCAAAATCGTTTCACAGATCTAAAAATATTCCAATATGTGCTTCATTTTAATATATTGATGAAGACATATCTTTTTTTTAAAAGAAGTTCGTTTTCATAGATTTTTACTTACTAAATCCAAGTTGTGGGTCTGCAAGAGCTTAGTTTTTCGTGAGAAAAGTTTCCAAAAACCTCTCAAATACTTTTTTTAAACTAACGAAAGAAATTGTCCGATAATTTTGAATTTCATTTTTCTTACCTTTTTTTAAAAAGTTATTAATATTAACTGTTTTAACATTTTTGAAGTATTCCCATGCGTAAAAAAGCATTCAAAGTGTGAGTTGACGGATATATGTGTGGGCTCACAAGGAATTAATAAAGAATCCGATAATTCATCCAAACTTGCCGAATATTTATTTTTTAATTTACTGACTCTTCTGCTAATTTCACTGGCAGACGTTTGAGAAAGAAACCCTCCAATAGTTGGGGAAACGTACGAGGTTCAGTTTGGTGGTTTTAGTCCTGCTTGAGATCAACCTCAATTCTCGAAAAGGGTTGATCGAGGAGACTTGCAACTCTTTTGGGACGGCTTGCGTCTCCCTAATAAATTTTAAAATATCATTAGTTGGAATCCCAGCGAGGAGAAAATGTTTGCAATTTCATATGTGATAATATTGCCCAGCCATTAGAAATAGACCGGCAGAGTAGAAGCTGGTGTAGAAGCGTGTAAACCGCGGCGGCAAACGTACAGGTGGAAGTTCTGCTTTACTTTCATTTTCACTTCTGAGTTCCTGCAGCTTTCCGTTCGTATCAGAGGCGCGTAGCATTGCGTTTTCCACCGCCTTTCCACGGCACAAAAACAGCGCAATGCGGCCGCGAGAAGAAGAGCGGGGAGGATTAAAAGAATTAGACGCAGCGTGTGGATGAAAGGAGGACTTCTTGGCCGCGGGGGCGGGGGCGGGGGCGGGGGGCGCGGCCGAGGGAATCAATAAGCATCAGCCACAGAGTCGTTCCGCGGAGGGCGGAGGCGGGCGCGCGGGATCGAAGCGCACCTGGCCGTCGCAGCGCGGGGGGCGGGGCGGAGGGGAGCGTGGCGCGTGCGCTGACGTCAGCAGCCGTGACCTGAGCACGCGCCCCCCCGCGCGGCGCGGCCCCGTGGACCCGTCCGCAGCCTCCGACACGCACCGCGCGGCCCTCGCAAGCCTTGGCTCTTGCTCTCACGCGATACGTACGCAGAGTCCATGTTTTCTGGGGCCTTCATGCCGAAAACTCGATTGACAGCAAAACATTGTCAGTTCCTGTCTATCTGTCCATCAGGCTGTCCTTCAGTCCGTGTGACCGTCGGTACGTCCGCCTTTCCGTCCGTCTGTCCGTTCGTCTGTCTGTCCGCCTGTCCGTCAACCTGACCGTCAACCTGTCCGTCAACCTGTCCGTCAACCTGACCGTCAACCTGTCCGTCAACCTGTCCGTCAACCTGTCCGTCAACCTGTCCGTCAACCTGTCCGTCAACCTGTCCTTCCGTCTGTTCGTCCGTTCGTTCGTCCGTCTACGGTCAGCGCTAACATTGAAACGGATCAGCCGATTTTTTCCAAAATTGATATACCTCGATCGAGTAACTCGAGATCTTTCTAGTTTGAAACGGATAGCGATTTTTGTAAAGCCTCAACATTTTCAAAATTGCGTAAAAATAGCTCCAAATTTTTTGATTATATCTTGTTCGCGGTAGTGTAAAAAATTTCAAAAATTGCAAAAGATCGAAACTTTTCTCGGCGTCTTCCTACAGGTACAATATTAAAAATAGAGATTTTTCCTGAATAAAATCTTATCTTCAAAGACATTCTAAAATAAGGTCATGCACAATTTTTCCTAAAAAATTTGACCGACTTAGGTGGCTCATGGTATCAATTGATGTTTGTACAGTGCCTCTAAGAGGGAGGACCTAGGGTTCGAATCCCGACGGAGGCAGGATTTTCGACATTCGGTAGAATGCACATTAGATAGCTACGTCGAATGCAGCCGCTGTGTGGAGGTAAACGCTAGTAACCGGCAGCTCTGATCGGTCGTTTTCCGTTGTTTCTCCGATCAGCGATCAGCTAAGCGAATACCGGAGCAGTACCATTACACATGGACCGTGGACTCTAGGAGTACTCTAACAAACGGACCTTGTTCTATCCTACACTTACTTGCAAGCTCACTTACACTTCCATACACTACATACTCGTAAACACGGATGCCGGGCGACCAGTCGGGCATTTACAGCTTGCCTCGCTGGTGTGAGATACCTAGTGAGGAAAACTTGCGTTTAGGTCGGCCGGATTTGGCGCATCGAGGGGGGCGCTGCACATACGAGGCTAATGACCTAAACAGTTGACGCGTGGAATCAATAATCAAACAGTAAAAGTGTGAGTAGTTTGAGAAGTTCAAGCAGTTTTTATCAATAATTTTCTCAAATCTGCTTCAATTCATTCTTTAAATTTTATCCTCGTTAAATAAGTGCTTGTTGTTTAATTTTTGGGGAACTCTGTATTCTCGAAAATTCCAAAATGTTAACTTTGCAAAACCACAAATTTCAGGATACAAATTTTTGTTAAAAATAATATGATTAAAAAAATAGATTTATTAATTTTTTTTAAAAAAATCGAAATATTCTAAGGCCATCAACTGATGGCACTACTGTGCCTCTGGCAGAGAGGTCACAAGGTTCGATTCCCGACAGCGGGACGATTTTTGACATTAGTTGCACAGCCTGGTCGAATTCAACTGCTGTCGGGAAGATAATTCTAGCGGCCGGCTGCTCTGATCGGTAGTTTCCGTGGTTTCTCCGATCATCGCTAGGCGAATGCCGGAGCAGTACTCTAATAAACAGACCACTCACTGACCGCCGCGATCATCTCTTCCTCCTCTTGGTTGAACCCTCTCCGCTTACTTGCACTAAACTACTGCACATGCCGGAAAACTAGTCGAGATATTAGAGCTTGTCACGGCTGGGTTGGTGCCTTGCTGTTGGGAGATGCCTGGTTGGGGAAACCCTCGCAAGGCGACGTGGGTCGTCATTGCCATCCAGCGGGAGATGTCCGCCACCTTTCGTTTTAAAACCTACAGTACACTAACGGGACTAATGACTTTAGCAGTTCACACGTCCGGAATCACCAATCAATCAATCAATGAAATCGCCGTGCGCAATCGCCCCCTAGAAAATGCGACGTTCTCTTGCAGCAGCGCCTGCCCATGGTCGCGTTACTCTTTTATTTGAGCATCTGCCCAATTGCGCGTAGAGGCAACGAGCTAAATACACTTCATAGAGTGGCAGAAGCGCCTCCAGCTCTGTAACAAATTGAAGCCGTGTTTTTCTATTCCAAGCAGCGCTCTCGGAGAAACGTAGTATTCTAGCATTCCGTTTGGCGCTGGTTGCGGCCGAGTGGGCGCGGGCTGAGCGGTATAAAAAGTCTGTGTTCCACGACCAAAAAACAATCATATAAAAACGAAATCACAATATGCAAGGAGAACGAATTGAGAAACCTTAAAACTGTGGTGCTTCGTGCATCGATTACTTCATAAGAATGGAAGCTGTTGATATTTTATTGCAGTTATCATATCGCCTGAAAGTGATTGGTATTGCAATAAGAAGCAAGTAATCAGATCATTAATACGGTGGCAAACTTGATGATATATTTGTGGTTTGATGACTTCTACATTAATTGTCATTGTGAATATTACTAATATAATTTAAATTCAGATAATCGAAAAGACAATATAGAAATAATATACGATCCAAACAAGACGCCACCGTGTGGCACCTCGCAAAAGCCCTGGCGGCGTGGAGCGTCGCTTAAGCGCGCTGCCACTGCAGGGTCGGCTCACCTGCTTGTCGGCCGCTTCCTTGTGCTTGGAGGCGCCTGGGGCGATGAGCCGCTCGCAGTAGCAGCCCTCTAGCAGCACCACCCCCGACGGCCGCCCGCACGCCTCGGACTCGTAGTAGAACAGCATGTTCTGCAACGCACAGTGCCGCAGTGTCAGCCCCGGAGCCAACAGCGAAGCAGGCAAGGGACACGCTAATGCAGATGCGCTATGAAACGCAGATGGAAGACTTTTGTAGTGAGACTGAATGTCGACAGTGATTGTAAGCTAAAGCAAACCGTTTTTGTCGAATATGTTTTTACAACCATGTTACTTTATTATCAGATAGAATTTAATTGTACCAGTTGTGTTCGATGGCGGTTAAGTTAATGGTTTGCATGAATGTAAACAACTCTAGACCAAACAACTCCCCTTCCAGTTGAAACACTCCTTTTGGTACAGTTTTGGTACAGGAAGAGGTCCGGAATCCGAGAAGATATGCACAGTTCAAAATTATGTATTTGCAAAATGCAAAATACCTTATGGGATTTTTGTATTCTAAAATCAAAAACATTAACGCAATATAACACGTAAAATATGAGGAATTACGTCGAGATAAAAATTAAAATGAGACATCTGGAATGTGAGGGAATCGGAAAATGAAAATATACTATTGGTTAAGTAAATTTTGGACAATTTAGAACATTTTTGGGAAACACAGTTTATTAAAATAACGTAAGGCATTGTTGACATGACAAGAGAGGACTAGATGCATGGTTGAAGGAGCTACAAGAGCGCATCGAGTTGTACTAACAATAAAGACAAGTGAACTTTAGCACAGATTGTAGGTGAAAAAGAACACTTTTCTTTGAGCCAGAATAAGATGGATTTAATAGCGAGTGAATCTACAGCTGTCAGAGCGTTATGTAAAAATAGTTTGTTTTAGTTTGTGAGAAGTAGAAAATGGACTTCACACAAACATAAATGTTCACAATTAATAGAGAATAGGAGAACAATTCAAGTTAAAACCGATTAATGAGAACGGAATAATACGGGAGAAAATTAGATCACGAATTGCTGCAAAATTAAAAGAATGAATTCAGTGTGGTAACGTGAAGAGCTCCAGAATGACAATATGAAATAGTCGCTGAATTCGTCACTACACCAAGTGTACCGTAATATATTCATAAAGGAAAGTATAGATAATAAGTTAAAGGACTTCATAAACAATGTAGGCAAGCTGTGTTTTAATTTATAAGAGATAAATAGTTAAGATATAAAGAAAATTGTGATTTTCCAAATAGAAAGTCGATGGCCATATCGAGGTGATTAATTAGGAATATTTATTGCTTTGAGCTTTTCATTCTACGATTTACAAGAATTCTAAGATTTATCTTGAAAGATACGCGACTTTTGCCGAAGGATGCGTTGCCGACTTTTTTGTTAAATGACATATGTTCTAAAAAATAAGTTCTTTAAAGAAGGTATATACATTTTTTAAATGAGTAGTTTGGTGTAATTTTGAATATTCTAACTTGCTCGCCTTCAGGACATATCAGATTGGAATGCGACACTAGCATTCCGCCCCGCGAGGCGGCAGCTGTAGTTCTGCGAATTCCGTTCTGTGAATTTGGGGGATGATTTAGATGGATGAAATGCAGTTTTAATAGCCTAATTTGTGTTGATATTTGCTTCAAAATATTGATTTTTCGCACCAAATGTTCTATGATTTGTAATGTGTTTTACATCAGACGAAAGATGTGTTAAATCAGACCGAAATGGCTGTTTAAATAGTATTTCTTAACCATTACTGAGGGCAAGAAAATAAGTTGTTTTAGCACTGGTTTGCTAATGAAAATACAGTGGGATGTTTTTTAAGGAAGTCACCTATGTGCTCTTTGCCTCTGAATATGTTTGGCAGACGTCACAAAGTCATCTGCAGAAAACCTTTGCATAAGGATTTGCCTCAGAGTAATTGTTCCAGGAGGATTGTGTTACTGCTGGGTTGATAACTGCGCCCCAGTTCTGCACCCAACAGATTTAACACGAAAAAGTTGAAGTGCAGATTACGATATAACAAGCAGATTACCGAGAGCCCAGGGCAACGCCCGACGTTGCTGCGTTTGTTTACAGCTAGTGGTGGAACACTAGCACAAAGTTTCTCGCATGATTTGCAGCACTTTATACAGATAAGAAAATATAATTTCACATATAAATTGTACATCAAGAACTGTAGGTGGTCAAAAATATCGCCTTATGCGGAAAATACGATGTCATTATATCTATATACACATTCTTCCCGACTTTAATAAAATATAATGTATCAATTTATTGAACGTAGAGCCACTGCAACTTTAATTTAATAAAAAAAGCAGCCTTATCTTACATTTCTTCCATCCATGCAGCCGTCCAACAATTAAATTTTTGGAATAACATCTCAAATATCCATTGCTGCATTGTATTGCAACGCGGCGTATGGAGCTAATAACGAATTATCCTAACAAACGTTCCAAGAAAATTATGGTATTAAATTGTTTTCAATTTGTCTGTCTTATTACATTGAACCGTATTTTTAAGAGAGGACACCAAACTTTTCCAATTCAGTTATGGTTTGCAGGTCACTTGAAAGAAAATTCAACGAAACATTGAGAATACAAATTGTAGAATAAAGTAAAAATGAATTAATATTTAGATTATCAACAGTAAAGTATAATTAAAACATTTATTTTTCATGTCCTGTTGATCAATTATTTTTCCAAGAATTTTTGTCGTGGCTTAAAGTTAGTGAGACACATGTATACAGAGTGACTATTTTATCTTGAGACAACTAAATATCTTGAAAAGTAAGAATCGTATAAAGAAATGTTTCGAATAAAATTTGTTTGTCTCAGAGGGGCTTATTGGATGATACCAATCTCAACGTGCCACCTTCACTCCCTGGACGTGGGGGTGGGGAAACTTGCGAATTTCAAAAGGGAACTATTTTTTTTATAGCGGATTCGGATTCTCCGCAAAAAAATTCGTACATTTTGTTTGCAACATTTTTTGTTTTGTCCAGCAGATGGCTGTAATCGTATGAAACACTTTTCGCAATTCTGCTCCAATTTCACGAGGGGGTGAAAAACATGATGGTGTTTTCAAGAATCTTATGTACTATTGTTAAGAGTGAGCATCCCACAACCTTAGATAGAGAGCGGGGGGAGATAACTTTTAAATTTCAAATGGAACAAATTTCAAAGTGCATTAATTTCAAACAAATTACCAGAAAACTAATAGTTTTTTTTGAAACGTTGTACATGACTTTTCTAAGAAACTAATTATTTTAGAATAAATTTTGAGGTAAAAGTCTCAATCTTCAATTTCATGGTTTTCAAATATGAGTTGCAATTTGAAATTGCCAAAACAAAATGCGCAAAAATCCCTTTTTTTAAATTTACATGGTGCTTTTAAGAGCTGATTGTTTTAGAAGAGTTTGTTTGAAGGAAACATCTCTAGCTCCAATTTTGAAATGTAAAACATTTACAAGTTTTAAAAATACAGGGTTTGTATGTAATGAAAATAGCTCCAATATTTTAAAAAAACATTTAAAATTGCTTAGATTTCATGCAAAATTATGCGAAAAATACTCAAATTTTCGACACGTTGTAATTGGTAATTTTAAAAAAATCTTTAAACAACAGACTTCATTAAAGAAAACTATCTTTATTCATATTTTAGTTGTTTGAATGACGCCGAGAAACATTGCACTTATGAAATTTTCGGAAAATCAGTGAATTCAATAAAATTTTGACCTGATCCATTTTACTAAAAAACTTCCATGCTATCCAACAACAAAGGGTAAAAAAAATTGGTGCGATTTTTTTTACTCTCCCGACAACGTACATACATACGGAGTAATACACGTAATATAGAGAAAGTTATATAATACTGTGGAAAATCAATTTAGATATTTCAACGGAAATACACGTTTTGGGTCCCCTATTGAAAAAGTGTTATTTTAAAAATCCGTCTGTTTGTCCGTCCGTCGGTTTGTCAGTCTGCAAACACCACTAGCGCCGGTCGATCTGACTTCACTCGAGGCACCGCGATTCTCAAAATATTTCTTCAAAATTTGGGGAACTTTACATGAAGCTCCCGGGACATTTTTAAAATCATCTCAATACCCCTTCAAGTTCGTTCTTTATGTTTTTTGTAAGAATACAGTAAATGCACTTATAAATGTGGCATATGTCCGATTTCCATGGTTATCTCTGCATTTTCGAAAATTGAAAAAGTTACAAAAACAAAATTGAGAATAGAGGATTTTGCTTCTTATAAAATGTATTGTCCGTAGTAAATTATTTCATTAAGGTCATGTACAATTTGTTAAAAATTTTTGTTGTTCTCGTGTAATATTGCGTGCAATATTTGCAATTTTAAAAAATTAGAAAAATAAGATTTTCTCAAAAAAAGGCTCTATTTTTTTTATTTTAACTTTTGGTAGGGATAAGTGCTAAATGCACTTCATGAGATGGCAAAGACGCAATATTGCTCTATCCTCTTCTTTTTCGAAAAATTACAAAAATGTAATTTTTACTTGTCTCGCACGTCGTTAATATTTACGCTATCGGCATTTTGTTCACATTATTATATTTATAAATACATGTGCTTCAAATAATTGTATATAAAATGTCTAGAAAACGTACCCGTTTTGTGTAAAAACTAGCTCAAAATTCCGCATTTTCAGAAACACTCAAACGCCATTTTCTAAAAACGTTTACAATTTTTTTGTTTAAACTTTTCCAATGGATAGTACTAATTGCACTCTTTGATATGGCGTAAAGTTTATTTCGGGATACTTTTTGTTTTTTAGAAAATTACACAAATGTAATTTATTTGAAGGATCTCTACGCCGTTAATATACACATTTCTAGCAATTTGTAAACACTATTGTGCATGGGCGTTAATGTGCTTAAAATGACTTGTAATGAAGTTGTTAGGAAACCAATCAATTTTTTGTGAAAAAGAGCTTTAAATTTCAAATTTACAGTAGCGCGTAAACGCCATTTTCTTAAAATCGGCTCCAAATTTTGTGAAGGAAGTTGACATTTAGGACTAGGTTTTACTATTATTTAATATTCTTAAAATAATATTTTCTTTTTACAATAAGGAAACCGAAAAATTAAGAAAATTTCAAAAACAAATACATCGTCGTGGAAAGATGGCAGTTGGCAAGAGTATGTGGCAAGCCCGAATAGCTAGCTGAGACAAAAATAAAAAACTAATACGGGAAAGTCTGCGCCAGTTTTCGCACCACCATTTT